TGGCTAGAAACGTGTAGGAAAGACATTGCACTAAGCAATTCACTAGGTATTCTGTTCAACACACTTCTTGTGTTCAGACTCTCCTGAATGATGTCAATTTGAGTTTGTATTGAGCACATTTCATCGATTTTATTCTAATGGAACAATAAACTTCAGGAATGGTAACTAAAAATATCTGAACTTTCTATACCCAGTCTCTAGTTTGGATTTAAATCCTATTATGTTAAGACTCCTTGTAGTCATATATTTTCGCACTTCTTTCACATGGGAGATGCAGATTTTGTATGATGAAAATTGGTTGTGCAGAAAATTTTAGTACGAAACTGAGCATTTTGTGTGTGGGGCCAAACTTAATTGTGTGTCTCATAAATTACCTTCGGTTCAAACGTGACCAATGATAGTTATATTTCAAATGGCTATGATAAGCATTGGCAGTAATATATTTTACCCCTTCTTCGATTTTAGGAGCAGAATTAATTTTGAATGTAAAACCATTGTGCATAGAAATTTTAGCTAGAAAATTGAGTAATTTGGGTCTGATATATAAATAATTTACCCTTACTCATGCAATGCTCTTCACTTCATTTTGCATCAAGTAGGATCACTCGTATCCACAGATCAAGTATTCATCAACTCACACGCAAAAGCTTTCTATCAAATTCGATACTAGAAATTCCGTGATATTTTCAAATTCTTGCCTTGATTTCTTGTTCTACCAATATGTTTCCCATACTAGGAACGAGTTTTCAATATTATGACCCTTTAATGATGCCTGGATCCACTCCTAAGATCACATCAAGGCAGCGTTGGACCCCGACACCTGCGCAACTCCAAATACTCGAGAGCGTATTTTCGCAAGGCATTGGGACTCCGAGCAAGCAAAAGATTAAGGAACTAACATCTGAGCTCTTACAGCATGGCAAAATCTCTGAAACAAATGTCTACAACTGGTTCCAGAATCGAAGGGCCAGATCAAAACGCAAGCACGCAGCAACTCCTTCATGCCTGAGTGTCAAATCCGAAGCAGAAAGGGAAAATGATTGCTCGAACCTCGTTAAACAAAAATCTGGGAAGATTGATTCCTTTCAAATTCCAGAAGGCAACCCTGAATTGCATTCTACAAAGAATGCAGAGGACAGTTTAAGGTCTTTCTATCAAGGTGATGCACTGGATCCAAGTACATAGTTTAACTATTGATAGTAATTTGATACTGAAAAACTTAAAAAAGCATTTTTTCCTGAAGTGTTTGAGTTAATCATGCAGGGCAGGATCAACTGATGGGAGAAATGGGGATTCCAGCGGGCTTAAGTTATTTTCAATGTGGAAACAGATAAAGATGAGTTTCTATTTTTTTTTTTTTATAAATCGGATTGCAGGTGATATTAACTTGATACTGACAGGCTAAGAATTTTATAAAATTGCAGAAATTTTTTTATTTGGGTGCATTTCCGCAAATATATGTGGGACTTTGAGCCCATGTAAACATTAGATATGGAAGTATATATTAACTTAAAGCGTGAGTCTTTAATTTGTCTGATGGTTTTTGATTGTGTTCTTTGGAAGGTTTAGATTGTGAAGTTGTATGGTTTGAATGGCTATTCACAAAGGCTGTATTTGTTTGGCAAGGTGCTCAAGAAATTTATGTAAGGGTTGTATGTTTTCAGATAACATCCTTTCTTTTTATATATTCATGTTCATTTGAGATTTTGGAGAAAATTAAATTCTTTGTGCTGATTTGAGCGATACGAGCCTTATCGCGCCTCATAATCCATGCTATATGTGGTAACTATTCAGCGTACAAGTTAGCTTAAACACTATGATTTTACAATGTTTTGAAAATATAAAAATATAACATTCAATCTTTATCGTAACTTCAGGGTTTTTTGTAACGGCTAGGAACTTTACGACTAGAAGAGTCTACGATGTTTTAAAATCTTTACAGAATGTTCCAGCATGTGCAAGAGTCCAAGAACGTTACCGCATACTTTGAGGTGTTTTGAGGTAGAATCTTAAGTTTAGCAAATACTTCCTATTTTAAACCCTTTACATTTACTAGGTCAAAATAAGCATATGTCACATACTAATATACTAATTGAGTCTAAAGATCGACAAAAAATATATTTTTCATATGCTTGGTGCTATTTTCTAGTTAAAATGTTTAGAACATTATTGAGTTTTATCATGATAAAATAGTATGTACTAAACTAGTTTCAGGCCCGTGCGATGCACGGATTTGTTTAATATGTAAAAATTAATGTAGCAAAAGAATGCAAAATAAAATAGTAATAATATATAAGTAGTCAGAAATGATACAACCTAAGTTGCATATATAGTTTGGAAAATTAGAAAGTTTGAAAAACTTGAATTAGTGTAAGATCATATATAGTTTAAAAAATGTAAATGTGTAAAAACGATATTCAGAAATATGGTGGGAGTTATTTTATTATTTAAAAGGTAGAAAAAAATCAAAATTAAAGTGAAATGTCAAAAAAGTACCAAAAATGGGTAAATTTTAAAAATTTGAAAAAATGAAAGGTTTGGAAAAGTGTGAACATAGGAAAATAATATTTGAAATTTTTTTGCTAGTCATATCAATATTTAAACCGTTAATAACTTTCCAATGAAATTGGTAAAATAAAAGTGAAATGTTAAGAAACAAAGGAAATATAATACATATCATATAAGAGGTGTAGACATCCACCTGACGAACATAAGAGACAATGTAATACCTAAATCAAATAAAGTCAGTGTAAGAAAATAGTATATGATTGCAATTTAAGAACATCATCAAACCATAAGAATACCGCATAAGAAGTACTCAATTAGTTAAATAAAATGCAACTTTCACATACTCTATATAAACATAAGAAAGAACAAAAATATTGGAGTGAAATGCATTGCCATTGGAGAAAAATAACAAAACATAATATAAGAGAAATACATTCTAGTAAGATTATATTGAGTTCATCACTTACCAATAGTAAAGATAAACAAAGAAACAAACAAATCTGAAACAAAAAAATATAATTATATATAAAAAATACACTTGTATAGGCAGAAAAATCTTTAAATATATACTTGCCTTTTGTATTCATTTTTTTCCTTTTATTAATAAAAGAGTGAGCAATCTACCAATCTGTAGAAAAAAAATCATAACAGTTCAAAACAACAGTAGAAAAAAATGACAACCTAAGATAGGATGAGCTATTTTCATGGAAGAAATGAAATCTGTCAAATTAGCATCAACTGTGTCAAATTAGGGTGCATCAACTATGTCAAATTTCAGACAAAAGCAACATGTTAACTTACATTAAATGTCAAATTTCAGTCATTTAATTTCACAAACATTTAATGTACAACCTTGCATTTCTTCACCCAACAAATTTAAGTCTTGCGCATCAAAGCGTTCAAGCCAACAACAATGTCCAAAACTCCAAATCTTTATCTTGCAAACAACAATCAAAACACAAACTCAAATCATCATTTATTGATATTCATAATTAAATAAACAAATAACTAAAAAAAGTACCTTATAAAATGACAAAGAAAGAAAATACAAAAGCATCCGATAACTTATCAGCCCATTATAATCAATTGCTCTCTCAATTTTTACAAAACTCCAACATGAGTAAAAGCGTCTAATGAAGATACTCGAGCTCATGTATTATTCTTGTGTCTGATATTCCAAAAGAATGTAAGATCTTATAGAGCTAGGATTAAAACTAACCATGAAAACCAAAACAAAACAAAGTAAAATTAAAGCCGCAAATAAAAGGGCTTCAGTAAAAGCTGAATGATTTACCAGTTATCGGCATTAGTATGGTTCATAAGATCATCATAAACTGTAAAATCAAACATACAACGAAAAGCCTAACATACAAACTAACTAAAAAAGGAATATGAAGTATATGCTTAGATCAAATACCTTGCTGATCTTAACAGATGTAAAACAAATTGTTTAGCTGGAAAATTAAAATTTTGATAAAAATTAAAAGTAATATTCCGGTGAGAAAAATACAAGTGTGATAGCAATAGGTTCCATCGACGGTAAGGAGTAAAAGAAAATAATAAGAGGATTACGGAGAAAGAAAAAGCTAAACATAACTCAGACATTACATAATTTCCATTCTTCTGAACCTCAATTTGATGGAAGATCTCATAATGAGATGGAAAAAATAATATCATCATTGCTTTAGAATAGAATAAACTAAAATGCAGGAAAATAAAATAATACGGAGAAAAGAATAGCAATAGCAAGGTTCCCCAAAAGTAAGAACCAAAAAAGTATGAAGAGAAATAGAGCATGAAAAAACTACACATAGCTCGAAGAACACATAATTTCCATTCTTTGAACTTCCATTTGATAGAAGCTCTCACAATGAGCTGGGAAAAACAATATCATCATTGATTTACAACAGAATTAACTTAAATACAGGAAAAAAAAGAACATGGAAAATTAACAGCAATAGCCATAGCAAGATTCACTTCAAAATCAACGTAAGAAACAAAATAATATAGGATTACAGAAAAGGAAAACATTAAACATAGCTCAGATATTACATTATTTCCATTCTCTGATCTTCCATTAGATGGAAGCTCTCATAATGAGTTGGAGAAAGAATATCATCATTGCTTTACAACAGAAAAAACTTAAATGCAGTAAACAATGAGCAAACATAAAATTAAGCGAAACTTTGCATAATAGTTTTCTCTTCACTAAAATATTGGCTCAACTTTCACCAAATCCTCAGACAAAAGCATAAGTGTCCGAATAAGAAACTTTGGCATAAATGTTCTGTGTTCAGTGCTGTTGTTGAAATAAGAAACAAAGTTAATAATGTGCGTGAATCAGAACTTTGTAGAGGCACAAGAAAACGTTTTCATTCCCATATCTTGTTTTGCTAGGATACAAGTGAATTCTTCTGTATTCAAGATATGATAACTTTGTGACATATAACTGAAAAAGAGCAAGATGATAAAAGTACTTATTGAGGAAAGTTCGCAGACTGCAATATTTATCAAATAATCAATAGGTCGTCCAGAAAATTTTTCCCAGTATAAGCAATTAGCATATTGTCCTTTGTCATTACTGTTTTTCTCTCTTTCCACACATCAAATATCCAAAATGAAAAATAGACAAATGTTAAAACAGTTTCTACATATAATAGCTACGTTGAAGTTCAGGTTTCAGTTACATAGATTCCTAAGATCACAAACTGCAACAATACCTTGATAAGGCCAGCCAAGCAATGAACATCAATATCATTTGACACAATTCCCCTATTCAGCTGCTCTCTCACATGCTCCTCCTGGTTGTTCTCCGGATTTATTCGAAAAATTCCTTCTGCTTGTTAAGTATTATACCACATGTTCACTTATTGTGCATAAACAATAAAACATACATTTTTTACAAAGACTTGGTACCTTGATTCTCCCTTGTGTATATAACCTTTCCTGCAAGAGTAAGAGGATTGTCGGCACCCTATTGCCTTTGGAATCATAACAACACTGCATAGATTCTGCTGAGACGCCGAATACACTTGCGCTGCAAAAAGTGAAAACAAATTCAATATATAATCAAGTATCACTACAAACTTTTTATAAGAAGATTTAATGATGAATTAGGAAAAAATTAGATGAGAAATTTCTCAGAAGTGCAGCTATATGGCTAACATAGGAGTTTACAGTAAAGACTACAAGAATAAATTGCTCAAATAGAGACATAATTTATGGGTTTACGTAGTTTATAGTAATAACCAAGATTTGGCACTAAAAAGTACCAAGGAAAGTTAATATCTTCAGTGTTGACTCTTCGTCTACTATTTTTACACCATCTCTGTTATGAGCCTGAAATACCAAAAAAAAAAAAAAAACAAACAAAAAAAACAAACAAAAAAAAGAGCTAATTTTTACAAAACCAATTGTGCCGAATATATGGCAAGCCATTTTTTACCAAAAAAAACATAACAAATAGTTACTGTGCAGTTAGATTTTTACCAGTATCATTATCTCATGTGCAAATAATAGAATCTCTATTAACTTCTATATGATGTTTAAAAGCACAAAGATGAAGTTAAAGTGGTCAACTATCCAAAAAAATATGTTGCGGAGTCAGGGAATGTCAACTATCCAAAAAAGTGAGAAAGCTAGTGAAGGCTCTAATTCAATTCAATTTACCTTTAGAATTTTAACCACTTTTTACTTTTTTTTGGGTACAATAAACTTATCTTGAGTAGAAAGACACAGAAAAAAGCAAGCGCAGAACAAATAAATTTATCTCCTCGTTAAATCAGCATATTTTAAAAACTCACAAGACGAAAAATGATGCTAAAAAAACTTTAGAAGCATAGGAAATTGAAAAAGGACCCTCGTCAGATTTTACTAAGATTCTAAGTGTACTATAACCAAGCCAGCTCATTCCCAAATATAACACAAATTTTCTATGAAAATGAGTGCAAAAGTTTAACACCCCAACTATATACATTTCAGCCCAAAAGTTTAAAACTTCAAGAAAAATCACTAATTCAACCATATTTGTAAAATAAACATAGAAGAAATAGATGAGTCTGTGTGATAAACATAGAGCAAAACCTTTGCGTTACAAAGATGGTTAAGATCATACCATGTTCTGACCAAGTGCTTCCATCAGTGCAAGCTGATCGAACATCAAGCACTCCCCACCAGCCTTGATGATCCTGGCCCGAGAAGTCTCAATGAACCTCAAAGCTGCCACCTTCATTGCAGGAACCTCGTAGACATGCTTTTCATCTGTCACAGGGCCGACAATTACCGCAATCTTGTACTCCTACTCAAATTGAAAAGTGAATCAGGATTCATAACAACAGAAATGCATGAAACACACAGACCTGTTAACATTTGAAGCCAGATTTTGTAGATGTTTAAGAATTAGTTAAAAAACTTCAACTGAAGTACTATTAAAAGATTCAAATCCTATAAACCTTCACGTTCAACACAGCTAAAGACAAAGCTAATAGGAAATCAAACCAATGATAGTACATGCTCCATTGTTGTTTCTAGGTAGTACGCTTGTACTAATAGTTAACCTAGGGTCCTTCAGGAACCAATTTAGTTTCAAAGTCCACCATTATCATGATCATGTATTAAATCTCTGATACTCAAAATAGCATGTCATTCCCATCTGATAAGAACTTACATATTGGTCAAGATTCCTCAAATTTCAACAAACTTTTACATCAATCATAAGCCTAGACTTTTGGCTAATACTTCAAAGATTTCCAGTAATTTCAGTTTTCAACCGTTTCCAAGGTTTTGATTTTCAATAAAGTAATATAAGTACATTTATACATAACAAAATGGTCCAAATGTAACCAGGCCTAGAGCGATCCATATTTGATACTAAAATAAATTCCTATATCGAAATGTTCTATTCATAGAGAAAGTGCATTTTAATCTTTAATATGGACAAAATTATTATTAATTAAAATATAAGTAAACATCACCACTTTATGTATTAGAATTGAATGTATAATTTAATGAGATAAACACCAGCTCTCAAGGCGTACTAAGGTTTAAAAGATGAGAGGTGAGTGTGACGCAAACCGAAATAAGATTGTGTAACGCACAAGTGTAAATACTGGTCGATCAATAGGTTCATAATCCATCCATTTTCATGTAGAGACAATGACCCTTTAAAAAGCTACTTTTTTTTTGAAAACTCACAAAATACATAAGCTTCGTTTCCAGATTAAACCAATATGTATTGCTAGTAACTTTGAATTTCAAAAGTTGAAAGCTTAAGCAAATTCACAAGTACACTTCAAACATTCGTTTGTATCAATGAGGATCTAATCTGCAAATATTAAAAGTAGTCAAATTTACCTTTCCCTTCATGAAAGTGACAAGCCTCTTGAGCGAGATTGGTGGCTTATTAGTCTTGCTCATGAACAACCTCTTCAATATCACCGCATTGGAGCTGCTCCCTGTTCTCCTCACCAAAAACTTATACAAATGCACACACACACACACAAAAACAATCTTAAAAATTACCAAAAATGAGAAAAAATCGACATATTTGCGAGAAGGATGAGAGGGTTAATATATTTTTGGAATACATGTACTTGAGATATGAGATTAGTAATTACAATCATGGAGAAGTAGAATCGACGGGGAGAATACCAAGAGGCAGAGGGATTGAAACGCAGAGACCGACCTGTCGACCTTCAGTTAATGTTCTCAAGGCGATTTTGGGAATTGAAGAGAGAGGAAAGCATCGACCTGAAAGGAACATTTATGAGTAGCTGAAAAAGAATACGAATATATACTTGTAGCTAGTGAGCTACCAAGGTAGTAATTGATCCCATTATTTTATGCAAAGTTATTAAATGCCTCAAAGAGCAAGGGCATGGAAGATATATAGCTAAAAGAGAGGGTGCTCAAGTGATAGGATAAGTACCTTAGAATAAATGAATAAACACACATTTATGGGCTTAGCAGAATTATTTCAGATCTGGAAGAGCTTAACAAAAAATCACTCATATTTCAAAAGGGTTATTCTACAAATCAAACTTAAATCAGAATAAAGCATCAACTTGAAATTAACATTTATGAGTAGGAGAGGGGGCAAAAAAAATACAAATCTATACATACAGCTGGCTACCGAGCTACTGATCTATCCCGTATTATAAACTAAATTGGAAAGATTATTCAATTTCCTCAAAGAGCAAGAACATGGAATAATAACAGGGTGCAAGAGAGGGGAGATAGGATAAGTACCTGAGAATAAACCCATATCAGGGTTTAAAAAATTTTAAAAAATTAAATCTTGAACCTTGGTGCCTGATCAATTTTGTTCTCAGGGAAAGGCCATCTCCTGATTTCGTTCCTGCACAAAAACCCAAGAAAATTGAAACCATAAAGGGCCCGCAGTTCAATAGTTCTCCATCTCCATAAATTGAAAGAGAGAGGACAATCAGAGCCATTACTTTTTTCATCAGGGCACGATTACATAAAACTAACAGAAAATTTCATACTCATTTGCCACAAAACAGAAGAAGAAGAAGAAGAAGGAAGGGAGAAAGGGCTTACAATAATTCGAGCTGAAATCTTCGCCAATCTGAGATAATGGAGCAGCAATGCAGTAAATGGGTTAAAAGGAGCATCGTTTAGGATTTTGAGGGGGCTACTACGAAACCCTAAATATAGAGAAATTGAAAAGGAGAGTAAAGACAAAGTGTAGAATCAATTATTAACCAGATAATATAGATGAGGGTGCTGGGGTTTTCCGTCAGGGTTGTTTCTGGTATGGTCGTCGTCGTCTTCGAGCTTGGGCTTTTGGAGAGGGAGGTAGTGATCGTGAGAGTCCATCATTAAGAGGAGCGAAGGATTCACGCTCTAGGAGACGAATACGAAGAGGTGATCTTGGGAAATGAAGAAAGGGGAAAACACTGACGGAGACGAAGAGGCGGAAAATTTTTCTCTATGAGGCGAATCCGAAGAGGGGAGCTTTGGAAATGAAGAAAGGGTAAAACACTGGAACCAATGCATTAATTGCGTTTCAATTTGCTGAATCAATTTTTTTAAGGAAATTAAAAAAAAAAAAGGAGAATTTGCCACATGTCATTTTTGCCAAGTGGCGTTTTGAAGGGTAACACTTTTTAGTAATAGTATATAGATTTATTGAGTTTTATCATGATAAAATAGTATGTACTAAATGTGTCCAAATTATGTATGATCATGTCTACGCTCTTGAAAAGAGTTCTCTGGAACATGATAGAGTGTTCTAAAATAGTGTAGAATATATTGGAATGTAGTAGAACACCATCGAATGTAGTAGAAAATAGTAGGATTTTCTAGAACAACAATAAAATTTGCTATGATTCTAGAGATTTTTCCTTAGGAGGTGAAGGCCTAAATATATAGGGACCCTCTTATGGCCAAAGGCCTAAATATATAGGGACCCTCTTTTGGCCAAACCATCCGTTAAAAGTTGTAATCATTGTTTGCTAAATAAGTTAGCTTTTGTGTGTGGGAGAGAGTTAGGTTAAAGTTAGCAAGTTAGTCGTAAGAAACTCGCTAATTTCACAGAGTGAGCGTAAAAATGGGGACATCATGTTTTGTATATGTAAGAGTTATGTATACAAAAATCACTGTTAGTGAAGATCTTATGTTCATTTGTAATTTGATGGTTTGGGAATCTGAAGATGAAACTATACAATCATTAGCCTTTGAGGCTTCTACAATGATCCTTATATATATTTCTAGTAACCCTAGCCTGTGAAGCAAAATACAATCATAACTTTAATTTCATACAGAGGAAATCCCAAAATCTGATTGAAATCCGACTCCCAATATGAGAGGCGAAATGAAATTGGAAATTATAGCAATTTAGGCCAAAAAGTTTACTATGGTTTAATGCTAAGAAATTAACATACCATTACGTAAGCTCTCTTCCTTGGATTCGATCTAGAACTACCTCGACTTTCTTTAGATGCTTCCTTCCCTTGAATCCAAAGTGATTGTCATTGTTATGTGTGTCGTGATGTCCATCATGATCTGATGATCATCATAAAGTAAAATTTGTAGAAGTTTATGCCATTTTCACAATTTCCCGTACATATTTCAGTAGAGTGAAGTCTATGATGAGGATGTTAAACTGGAAGAAAAACAGACGATGCAAATAGAGAGGTCATTGCAATTGTAATTGCAACTGCAACATCTAATTACACTGAAACAAACATTTGTAGTGGACAAAATAATCCAGTGCATGTAACTGTAGTTACAATTAATCATATGCACCTTTAATAGAAGACAGAACTCGTTCCCTTTGTTTCCTAAGACAACAAATCGTGATTTTAGTTGAGATTAGTGTTCCACATTTAATTTCATAGAAATCGAATTTGTTCTCATTTATGGTGGGTACGTATATAAATGGAAATAGAGGATGGAAATGGTTGAAGATGACTAAATGAATACAGGAAAGAGAAGTGTTAGAACTAATTAAGTTTAGATAAGCAACAACACAGGTAACCTGGATGGTTCGAATGTTTCTATATAGCTCCGATAGTCCTCGTTAAATTCCAGACTAGATTATCAAAAAAAAGTTTATATAAACAACTAGAGAAAAGAGAATAGACTATATAGTTTATACTTAGGATTAATTGCACTAAATCCCTATGAACTTTCAGCATTCTGGAGTATTGATCTTTAAAAAAAATCCTATTTGCAAAATTTATCGTCTAAATCTTACTTTTAGAGAATAAATTATGACCTTTATTCTTCAACGAAACTTTAAAGCTCTAGTGCATTCTCTATGAGTTTGCCTCTAAAAGAGTCCCCAGTCTGCAAGGAGATGTTAGAATATAAGTTACAACTTTCAATTCTCACCGGAATTTCAGAGTTTTGATGCCATGGCAGAGTCTTTTTTAACATTTAATCATTCTTTACTAATTTGATATCTATACTTTTTTGGAAACCGGGTTGATTTATCTAAATTATATATTCGGTTAGGGGGTATTATGGGATGTCGAGATTTTTCACTTAAAACGATTACAATTTTTCAAATATGACAAAGATACCCCTAAATAAATAACCTGATTAAAATGTTGAATCCACGCACAGTTTTAGAGTGAGTCATCGTCAGGGGAAGAGTGGTTTGGCTCTAGAGTTAGAGAGAGAAAGAGAGACGAAAACAATTATTGTAGAGATAAAGAGAGAGCGCGTAATTGGAGGGGAGGGAGGGGGAGGGTTTGGCTGGCGTCGACGATGACACAGATCGCACACGTGAGGAAGGGATCAAGGTGGCATGCGTATATATATGTCCTGACGTACGGTGTGAAATAGGATGGATAAAAACTAAACTGAAAGAATGTAGGGACGAATTAGCAAATAATTAGATTAGAAGGATAAATTCACAAAAGAGAGAGATTTAGGCGATTATAGATAGCATTAACTTTAGGATGCATGTTTTGTATTGAATTACCATAAATTTTGAAAATTTTTGGTTGTTTTGGGCGATTCTATCTTCTGTATTTTCACAACGAGCTCCATGGATGGACATACATACACGGATACTGTATAAATACACGTGCATATATATGAGAAGAGTAGAGGAGAGCTTATAGTACGTGCAGGATATATATATATATATATATTTTACAATTTTGAAAGTTTCATGGTTGTTTTTTTTTCTATTAAAAAAACTAATGATACTTAATCCACAGTGAACCCCTCTGACCTTCATGTTTGTTTTATGAAGTTCGCTTGAAAGATGTGTTGTGCGCAGCGGAAATTTAGGCAGAGTTTCTGGTGCATAATAAGAGAGAAAGATCCCAATAAGAATTTCTGTCTCACCAATGAAACAAGAATCTGAAGCGAATATCTCAACAAAGTGAGATATCGGCTCTTCCTCTCATCAGTTCTAGGACTGACTTGTCGAATGATTCTAAAAACTATTACAATGACCACAAACACAAACAAACTAATTTTACGTGGTTCGGCAAACTGCCTACGTCCACGGGCAAGGAGGGGGAATCTACTATTAGAAAAAAAAAGAATACAAATGGTTTACAACTCTCAAAATCTAAACCCTCAAATAGGCTCCTTGCTTTTCTTCTCAAGAAAAGGTCAACCTCCAAAAGACTTTTTCTCTCCTCACGAAGTCTGCACGCTGTCCAAGAACACCCTGCCTTTGCACAGTCGCCAAAATTCTTTCCTCTGCATGCGCCCTGCCTTTGCACTGTTCCTTGTACCGCTGCAGCCGCTTTTCTCCCCTCACGAATTCTGCCTTGCACGAAGCCCTAGGGAACTGCACATTGATATTTATAGGGGGAATCGGGTGGGCCTATCACGATCACGAGAACGTGATCTCTTCATCTCTTCACACATTTATTCGTGGCCCCCACTAGAAATCTCTTCACGCGGAAACGAGCGCGTTCACATCTCCTCACGAATTCTCGTGGACCCCACGAGAGCAAAAACCAAAACCCACTTAGCCTTTCACGTGCCTTCACAATTCTCCACCTCGGCGAAGTTTTATCAAAACTGAGCCGATATCAACCAAACAAATGTCTTACTTGTTGCGTCCACTATGAAGTGAAAAAAATTCACGACAACAGACTCAATCCACAACAAGTCGAGACTCAAATGAGAATGCAAACATTCTCCAAATGTTGGTATCAACTCACCAAATCGGTTGCATCATAAAATGACTGCCTACGTATCCTCTTACCCAAGGAATCAAGCCTCACGTAGCTCATCCAAATGGCCGCGAACGACCTCAATCCAATAGAAGAGTTCGCAACCCTTCTCCAATATCATCAACTCTGCGGCTGATAGAACCTCCAATGGCCTCAAACACCTCCACCTGAGGTGAACCAATGGCCATATCCAAACTACATCTATCAGCTGCACTCGCATCAAAACTCAACTCATCATCTGCATCCAAAACAAATTGATCCCTTAACTGTGTCACCTCAGCTGGAATCCCAAACAATGCAGTATGATCTGGAGTAATCTTCACCCAATGTGGAGTAGCATCACACTCCACCCGCTGTGATACATCTAAGGTCTGTCCAAAACTCTCTACCTGCTGAGAGTCAAATAGCTCCCTCATCGAAGCCTCAACCGAAGTGACATTACCAGACCAAACACCCAATTGAGTATTACCTCCTATCACAGCAGTTGACAACTCTTTAGTAAGATGGCTCGAATATGTCGAAGCCTCAGTTCAGAAACTCTTCTGCAGACCATTGCTTGACAACAAACACCGATCCTCCTCCAGCAATGCACGGTTCTCCAAATTTTCCATCCTATCTTGTTGCCCTAAGATTTCCTTTCCAACGAAGTGTCTCGAAATACCGTGAGCTCGGGTCCAATACAGAAACAGGTCCATCTTGTACCTCCCATCAAAATCAGAATGAAGTATCTTCATCTTTTTGTCCATCTTATACTTTTTCAAACTGTTAGAGACTACTAGGACTTTCTCTAATGGGGATTTGGTTGCAACCCAAACACGCCTAGAACAGCCACCAACAAAAGAAACCAAATGCCTATTACCTCCTAATGATGCCCCCTTGGAAGGCCCTCAAACATCCACATGAACTCCTTCAGAACGATCCTTAGCACGGTGAATAGAGGTGCCAAACTTCACCTTGGTCTTCTTGCTCACATCAACATGTTCACTGGACTTCAAACTACAGGTCTTTGCACCCTCTTTTAATCTATGCGAGGAATTAATACTGGAATGGCCAAGCCCCAAATGCCACAGTCTAGTCGGATCAATAGAAGTCGCCAGTTCTCCACCTGCCACTATACCTCCAGTCAAGTAATACAGGTTATTCCTCCTGACGCCCTTCATCATAATGCGAGATTCTTCCACAATCTTGAGAACCATGTCCTCAATTCGAACATTCAGACCCTCTCCGACCAAAGCTCCAATCGAGATCAAGTTCTTTCTCAAGGAAGGAACATATCTCACATCATTTAACTCCCTAACAGTCCCGTCAAACATTTTGATGTGAATTCTTCCTATCCTAAGGATCTGACATGCACGGTTATCAGCCATGTACACCACACCACTATCCAGCTTCTCAAAACTGGAGAACCATTCCCTTCTAGGGCATACATGATAGGTCGTACCACTATCCAACATCCACTCGGATTCCTCCGAATAGCTACATGTAGGATTGATAGAAAGTGAATAAATAGAAGAGTCAGAAATATTATCATCCGATACGATGTTTGCTTCTGATGATGCTTACTTCCTTTTTCCCTTCTGCTTATTCTTCATCCATTCGTCGAGCTTTGGGCAGTCTTTCTTCCAATGACCAGTCTCCTTACACCAAGCACACTGATCTTTTCTAATTGTAGGATGTCCTACTCTAGACTGTGACTTCCAATTATTTCGATTTGGACCCTTTCCTCTTGTGGCCAATGCCTCTGCCACCGACTCAGTCGAAGTCTCCTTATCCTTCTTCCGAAGCTGATAATTCACCAGTGCAGCAGTGACCTCACTATACGAAAGAGATGTCTTCTCATTAATCAGAGTAAGGACGAAGGTCTCATATTCCTCGTCGGGTAAGGAACTCAACAACAGCAACGCCTTGTCCTCATCTTCAATCATGACATCTACATTCGTCAAATCCGCAAGAAGCTTTGTGTAGGTGTTCATGTGATCTCTAATTGAGGTTCCTTTCTTTAACTGGAAACGATAAAGTTTCATCTTCAAATGCAAGCGGTTCTCAACACTCTTTGTCAGATACTTGCTTTCGAGAATCTCCCAAATCTTCTTTGCAGAAGTCTCATTCATCACATCATATTTTAGATCTTGAGTCAAACAAGACCTAATCACACCACACGCCGTTCGATTTATTTTTTTTCCAAACCTTCTCTTCAATGTCATCTGGCTTGCCACTAACTCCAAGGTATCCTCCAAATTCTGCGCGTTCAGCGCATCCAAAACCTCACATCTCCATAATCCAAAATTATTTGTGCCATTAAACTTCTCCACATCTATCTTCATAGAGTGGATATTCAAACTCTGAGTGGTCTTCGTGTCAAAAGCACCACCCTCGACACCCGAAGCACCTTCTTTCCCCGATATTTTTCTCAACGCACCAACGAACGAAGAATAGATCCAAAACTGAAAAGATAGAGTTTTTACCAAAAGATCACAACTTTATCACCAAACGAAGCCCTAGACGAGCCTCCAAATTGATCTACTCCTCCAAATAGCCCAAGCGTAGCCCAAGCTCTGATACCACTTGTTGTGCGCAGCAAAAATTTCGGCAGAGTTTCTGGTGCATAATAAGAGAGAAAGATCTCAATAAGAATTCCTGTCTCACCAAGAAAATAAGAATCTCAAGCGAATATCTCAACAAAGTGAGATATCGGCTCTTCCTCTCATCAGTTCTAGGACTGACTTGTCGAGGGATCCTAAAAACTATTACAATGACCACAAACACAAACAAACTAATTTTACGTGGTTCGACAAACTGTCTACGTCCACGGGGCAAGGAGGGGGAATCTACTATTAAAAAGAAAAAAAATACAAATGAGTTTACAACTCTCACAATCTAAACCCTCAAATAGGCTCCTTGCTTTTCTTCTCAAGAAAAGGTCAACCTCCAAAAGACTTTTTCTCTCCTCACGAAGTCTGCACGCTGTCCAAGAACACTCTGCCTTTGCACAGTCGCCGAAATTCTTTCCTCTGCATGTGCCCTGCCTTTGCACTGTTCCTTGTACCGTTGCAGCCGCTTTTCTCCCCTCACGAATTCTGCCTTGCACGAAACCCTAGGGAACTGCACATTGATATTTATAGGGGGGAATCGGGTGGGCCTATCATGATCACGAGAACGTGATCTCTTCATCTCTTCACACATCTATTCGTGGCCCCCACTAGAAATCTCTTCATGCGGAAACGAGCGCGTTCACATCTCCTCACGAATTCTCGTGGACCCCACGAGAGCAAAAACCAAAACCCACTTAGTCTTTCACGTGCCTTCACAAGATGAGCAGGACATAATCACACATTATCGCAAAGTTATAGTTAAGGACATGGCAGAAGTCACAAATCCAGTATGAACGCGTTCAATCATTAAATATATAGCTGCTTCCTAACTAACTAATCATACTGAAGTTTGCTTAATTTTTTTTTAAATCTCTATCGTTAAAAGAAAAAAAGGAAGAAGCGGAAAACCTCATATATGAATGGGATCATGAGAGCGGAGGTACTGGTCGCAATTCCCACAGGAGCTCCTCCACAAGATCGCTGGTGGCCTCACCGACATCCCCGATCTCCTCGGCTCTCGCACTGTCTGCTCACCATGGCGATCCTCCTCCTCCTCCTCCAGAGAGCTTAGATATAAAGTAGTGTCTTTTTTACTTGAGAAAATTATCTTATATGTTTCGATGTTTCTTCTCAATACTGCTCTTGTACTATCCATGATTCCATGTCAACTGTGTTAACGTTTGAGTTGGATTTTAGCATAACCCTAGTTGGTTGTTAGTTTTATTTTATTTTATTTTATTTAGGGAAAAATCTCTTTTAACCCAAAGTTTTACCAGAACTTATTTAAAAACCCACTCATTTTTTCAAACACCAATAGACCCACTGTATCTCATCTCACTTATTTTTAAACCCAACATGTATACTACATCCATTTTTTGTAATGTATTTACCCAATAAATTAAAAATTCCTAAACTACCCTTCATCCCCAAATATAAATCATCCCCTCTCTCTCTTCCGTCTCTCTTCCGTTTCACTTTCTCAAAGAGTCCAGGAGAGATTAGGGTTTCGGCGAAGAGATCTCTGGTTGAGGATCACCGGCGGCGGCGAAGGGAGTTGGATCGGCGGTGAGCGACGACGGACGGTAGCTGCATAGGTCTAAAAGCGGAGGACATTTGGAGCGACGACGGACGGCGGCTGCACGGGTCTGAAAGAGGGTAACGCACGAATCTTCCCATTTTCCTCTCTAATACTTGAAATTAAGCCCCTAGATCATCGCTTTTCATCGCAAGTTCCTCATATCACTGAGTGTTTTTATATTTCGAATGAGGTTGTAGAGAAGGAGACGGAGAGAGTTAGGGCTTGGATTAATCGGTGTTGTCTGTAGTGAGAGATATTGGAGTTGGGAGAGATCGAAAGGTTTTCCTGCAGGTGTGATTAAGCTCTTTTTTTAAATTAATTTATGGAAATGGATGATTTCTTGACCTAATTATGTTGATGTTTGGTATAATTTAGGTCATCGTGGGACTGTGGATTGTTTCGTACATTGGAAGTTCGTTTAGTATCTTCACTCTTATTTACATCGGTGAGTTCTAATAATTTATCCATTGTTTGGCTGACCTAATTAAAGTTCCAAAAGAAAAACACTTTCTTTTGAAATTAAGCCCCTTGTTGTAGTTTTGATCACATGCAACTTGCATAGATAAATTGTTGAAAGGGCCCGAAAGATCAGTATATCCTCTTTCTTTTTTTTGTGCACAGACATCTCATATTCAGCTCGGACCCTCGAGTAAAACAGTTTCCATTTCATCATATCTATCTATTGTGAGCCCAACCTAATCCTATTCTATTTATCTACTTGCATTATCTCTTCCAAAAGACTGAAAGAGTTATCACTTATAAACAATGTTGTAAATCCTTAGGAGGGTGCCTTGGCAGTCTGCATTCAAACCACTTTGATGAGGTGGGTAGCTTCGTGGTTCTAGACAATATATGTCCCCTTGACACCCAGCCCTGCTGAGCATTTGTTGAGCTACTGATTACGAACAAAAGCTACCCAAATACTTGATTTCACTAATCTCTGAAGAAATTTTCCAATAATAGATTTTCAAGCCAATAAAATTTCTCCTCTAAATTATAAAAGACCTGAACTTGCCAGAACATGAAAATTCTAATTCAAATCCAATTCCGCAACATTATGCTTGTTGTGATTTAATTGCATACTTTCTGGTGTTTATTGTATTTTAAGTTAAAAACTGTTAGTCTAGTTTTAAACTAACTGACAGAAGGCTCCTAGGAACTGATGGTTCTATTTGTTCTTTGTCTTATTAAGGCCTGTAGGCGAAGCTGATTCTGGTTCCTTAAACCAAATCCTATCATCTTACCTTTTATTTTGTATTTTTGAGAAAGGTATCATCTTAGCTTAGTTACTTGGTTTTTTGTTTTTTGTTTTTGTAATTGTCAAGGGGAAATTTGAATACTTGATTCTTCATGTTGTAAGCTCAAAGATGATATACAAAATTTTGATATATCTGTCGGTTAATTTGGTTCAAAGGAATTCTGCACCAACTTACAGTTTAAAGTCAAGTCTGTTCTAGAATAAAGGATGAATGGAAAATAGAAAATTTGGATGAGTATAGTACAGAAACCCGACAGGTTCCTGAACAGGATGGGTATGACTATAACTTAAAATGTATTAATGTGATTTATTTTCCTAATATATTATTATTTTATCATGTAATCATTGATTACGGTATTTGTTTGTGCAGGAGCTTAGATTTCGGCATTTTCATGATGAGATACATATATTCCATCATCAATGACACACCACCATTCATTCATCAGGCTGATTGTGAACTTCTACGAGCAAAGATCGCTATTGCCTTTATCTCGAAGAAAGCAGAAAATCTGCTAGAATATGCTTTTACTCAGGAAGTAGACTCTGAATATATATGTCTTGGATGTTCTGAATGTTGAAGTTGTACAGGAGCTTAGATCTGTGTACTTGGCAGATTCATTTTGTGTTGATTGGTGTATTCATTTTGTGTTGATTGTGTACTTGGCAGATTCATTTTGTGTTGATAGTGTAGCTTAGATCTGTGCAGGAGCATAGGGTGTTGATTTTTGTAGTGGTGTTGTGTATTTGTTGTTTCATGCTGTAATTATGTTCTTATTGTTAAAATTCTGTGAATGTTAAAGTTGTGTAGGAGCTTAGATCTGTGTACTTGGCAAATTCATTTTGTGTTGGTTGGTGTATTCATTTTGTATTGATTTGTACTTGGTAGATTCATTTTGTGTTTATTGTGTAGCTTAGCTCTGTGTAGGAGCATAGGTGCTATACTATTGTTTCAAGGGAAAATGGTACCAAAAATTAAGTTGATGGATATTAGTTATAGCTTGTACCCAATTGTTTGAAGGGACAATGGTACAAAAATTAAGTTGATGGTTGATGGATATTAGTTATAGCTTGTACCCAATTGTTTGAAGGGACAATGGTACAAAAATTAAGTTGATGGATATTAGTCCTTCCAAATTGATAATTGTTTGAAGGGACAATGGTACAAAAATTAAGTTGATGGATATTAGTCCTTCCAAATTGATAGATATTATTGATGTTTATCAAAAACCATAATAATACAAACATTTATCAACTACCTTCAAGTCCATTACCTTTTGTGAGCAAGTCTATGGTACACATCACTTGGGTATTGAGCATAGTATCGCTCCTCCAATCAATTATTTGCTCTTCATGGTCAATTTGGTATTAGAAAGCGGAAATGAAAAATATAACATAACACATATTTTTAAGGAAGAGAGGTAGTTGAAATTATAAGTTAAAATTTTTTTATTGTTCAATTATCCATAAGGAAGAGAGGTACTTGAAATTATAAGTTAAAAAAATTTTATTGACCAATCATCCACCGCGACGGGGGGTCCTCGCGTAATTTTAAAGCTTTTGGCAAAGTATAAAACTTTATGGAAAAGTATAGCATCTTATGGGAAAAATATAGCACTATATGGTAAAGTATAGCATTTTATTGGCAATGTATAGCACCTTATTAAAAAAGTATAGCACATTATGCTCTCTGGAAATTCTGCACCTTAAGTTGTCTAAAACCAAATCAGTTTTTTTTCACCGCAACACAAACACTCGATGACCTACGTTACGTGTTTATTGACCAATCATCCACCATGACGGGAGGTCCTCGCACAGTTTTAAATCTTTTGGCAAAGTATAGCACTTTATGGGAAAGTATAGCATCTTATGGCCAAAGTATATCACTATGTGGCAAAGTATACCACTTTATTAGCAAAGTATAGTATCTTATTGGCAAATATAGCACCTTATCCTCTCTGAAAATTCTACACCTTAAGTTGTCTAAAACCAAATTAGTTTTTTTAACCGCAACACAAACACTCGATGACCTACATTACGTGTTTATTGATCAATCATCCACCGCGACGGGAGGTTCTCGCGTAATTTTGAAGCTTTTGGCAAAATATAACACTTTATGGGAAAGTATAACACATTATGGCCAAAGTATAGCACTATATGACAAAGTATAGCACTTTATTAGCAAAGTATAGCATTTTATTGGCAAAATATAGCACCTTATGCTCTCTAAAAATTCTGCACCTTAAGTTGTCTAAAACCAAATTAGTTTTTTTTCACCGCAACGCAAACACTCGATGACCTACGTTACGTGTTTATTGACCAATCATCCACCACGACGGGAAGTCCTCACGCAATTTTGAAGCGTTTGGCAAAGTATAGCACTTTATGGAAAAGTATAGCACCTTATGGCCAAAGTATAGCACTATATGGCAAAGTATAGTACTTTATTGGCAAAGTATAGCACCTTATTGGAAAAGTATAGCACCTTATGCTCTCTGAAAATTTTGCACCTTAAGTTGTCTAAAATCAAATCAGTTTTTTTCACCGCAACGCAAACACTCAATGACCTACGTTACGTATTTAGTGATCAATCATCCACCACGACGGGAGGTCCTCGCGTAATTTTGAAGCTTTTGGCAAAGTATAGCACTTTATGGCAAAGTATAGCACCTTATGGCTAAAGTATAGCACTATATGGCAAAGTGTAGCACTTTATTGGTATAGTATAGCACCTTATTGGCAAAGTATAACACATTATGCTCTCTGGATATTTTGCACCTTAAGTTGTCTAAAATCAAATCAGTTTTTTTCACCGCAACGCAAACACTCGATGACCTACGTTATGTGTTTACTGACCAATCATCCACCACGACGGGAGGTCCTTGCGCAATTTTGAAGCTTTTGGCAAAGTATAACACTTTATGGGAAAGTATAGCATCTTATGGCTAAAGTATAGCACTATATACGTAACGTAGGTCAAGGTAGCGATGGAGTGACTCCTTCGATTGTTCGCGTCGAATTTGCTCTCCGTTGACGATCCGAATATCTTAATTCACTGGAACGATGTCTTCTCCTCACGATTTGACGTTGTGGAGAACTTGCGTGGCAAGTTTTAGAACTCTGAATGAGTTGATAACTCTGAACGAGTTTGAACTCTTGAAAAAGAGTTGATTTGAACCGAGAATCGGTTCTTAAGCCAAGGCCGAAGGCTTCAAGGAATGCTCCAAAGGATGAATGTTGATCTCTCCCTTTGCTGCCAAGTCCCAGATCCGAAAATGCCAGCCGAAAAAGCCTTGAACTCCGGACCAAAGAAGCTCACCCTCAACTCAGTTGAGTTTACTCGCTTTTATAGGGGATTAAGGGGGTGTAACCGCCCCCTTAAATCACTCCTAAGTGGGGTGTAACCACCCACAAATCATGGGAACCGGTTTTGGAACCGTTCAACTCATGTTTGAACGAGTCAAACGCCTATGTTGGCGTTCAGGACCCTAACTCCATATTTTAGACTGGAGACGCAGAGTTGGGTACCCGCTGGGCATTGAAAAATATGGGTATGACCCCAGCGTTTTAATGTTGTAACGCGGATCCGACTCCAGCGTTTTGATGTTGTAACGCGGGTCTGACTCCAGCGTTTTGATGTTGTAACGTGGGTTCGACACTCGCGTTTTACTGTTGACACACGGGGAGGACCTCCGTGTTTTGGTGTTGATACACGGGAAGGACCTCCGTGTTTTGGTCATAGAGCGCGGTGATGAGTTCCGCGTCTTGATTTGGAGAGATTATCAACAAGTAATCTCTTTTGTCATAGCGTTGCAAAGATCATTGTCTTGTAATCTTCGTCTTGGCTCCTTAAGAATATGAGAGTCGTCAGGTTGTAACTCTCAATGTTGATTGTGAATGCTATTGAACTAGAGCTCTCATCGGTTATCGTGAAGGTCGTCAGATTGTAACCTTTAGCGATCTACGTGAAAGTCTTCAAATTGTAGCATTCTGAAAGTCGTCAGATTGTAACTTCCATCATCGGTGTTTGATGGGGGATAAGCTATCTATTGTGATTTTTAGACAGCCTACAGAACCCCCTCCAAAGTTTTTGAAAGTTCGTGGTTGACTGGGATGAATTTTCGGAATACTTTGGATCTCAACTCTGATCTTGGAGCTGTTGATTCCTTGTCATAAGGAGTTGTTCTTTGCACTCGCTTTGAAGGTATCTTGATTGAAGGGATTTGCCATGTAGGACATGTGTGAAGGTATGTGCCATAATACTTCTTCTGGAATGTTGGGGTGTATCCCTACATTTTGAACTTGAGACGCGGGTCTCACCCTTGCATATTGAATTTGGAACACGGGTGTGACCTCGGCGTTCGGTTTTTTGCATCGCGGGTCTGACCTCAGCGTCTGACCTCCGCGTTTGGTTTTTGCATCGTGGGTCTGACCTAAGCGTTTGGTTTTTGCATCGCGGATCTGACCTCAGCGTTTTGACTTAAGACATGGAAGTGGCTTCCGTGCATTTTTGACTAAGTCTTTGAGACTTGTCTTTAGCTCATATGTTTCAAGTCTCGGCTCACATCCATTAAGCTAATGAACCTACAAACATGCATAGGATTTTTAGCAAACCCTCAGCCATCAACGGATTTGATAAGCCTTTACCGACTACCGTTTGAGTCGGGCTAGCATGTGAATTATTTGAATCCGTTTCACATGTAACGTTGTGCTAAGAGAATGAACCCTCTTAGACTTAATGCTATGATTTTGAATACATAGACTTTATCATTTTTTACAGAAAAAGACTAACTGGCAACGCGTGTTAGGCGTAGACTTATCTCTAATTAGGGATCGAGATAACGTCCCCCATGCGTGTAAGGCATGAATTTCGACGTTATTAATAACAACCTGCTACGATGTTGAATACGTAGACTTTGTTACTATTTCTTCATGTGTTATATTTTCACTCGAAACACTAAAAGAAAATTGGAAGTGTCAGAGGTGTAGTATTAACTTGGCATGAATTTTTACTTAGAGTGAAATTCAGAAATTTTCTTCACTATTACTAGGATAATTCCAGAAAATCTTTAATCCGCTGGGGATTTTATAATGAAAACTTGTTATTCTTGTTAAAAAAAGGATTAACAAGTTTATTGGGGAGGGTTTGACTGTTAGAGGTGTGATGTTAACCTAACAGTATTTTATGGGCTTATCGCTCTATTGAAGAGAGTCGATAAGTTGGTCTGATCGTCAGAGGTGTGATGTTAACTTGACTGGATTTGTGTTACGATCGGAGCAACTTTGTGGACTTATCATCTTATTGAAGAGGATTGATAAGTGGGTTGTCAGAGGTATAATGTTAACGTAACAGGGATGTGTTGCGATCAGAGCAACTTTGTAGACTTATCATCCTATTGAAGAGGATTGATAAGTGGGTTGTCAGATGTATAATGTTAACGTGACAGGGATATGTTGCGATCGGAGCAACTTTGTGGACTTATCATCCTATTGAAGAGGATTGATAAGTGGGTTGTCAGAGGTGTTTGATATTAATGTGACAAGAGAATGTTGCGATCGGAGCAACTTTGTGGACTTATCATCCTATTGAAGAGGATTGATAAGTTGGTTTGTCAGAGGTTTGGTGTTAACGTGACAAGAGAAATTGTGTTGCAATTGGAGCAACTTTGAAGACTTATCATCCTATTGACGAGGATTGATAAGTAGATTGTCAGAGGTATATTGTTAACGTGACAGGAATGTGTTGCTATTGGAGCAACTTTGTGAACTTATCATCCTATTGACGAG